CAGCATACTGTATCCTACATGACAACGCTCCAACCTCACATGGTGCTGTTCCCCAGAAGATGCAGTATCTGAGGTTTCAATAGATCATTGCCTCCTCCCTTCACTGTGAAGTGACTGCCTAAGTCAGGAGCCATGATTTCTGGAATACCGTTTCTAGACACCATAACTGCTTTTAAGACATCTAGTAACTCATCAAAATAATGTTGCTGGCAGAAGCAAGGAAAAGCACATCTAAATCTAGAATAATCTAGAGAAAGCTGCTGCAGTGGGAATAAATCTCTGCAGCCACGTGATCTCTGAAATGAAGGTTACAGGGTGAGAGGATGGGCTGCCTCTGCCTCGGTGCTGGTGCCTCCTTATCTCCAACTCTTCTTCCATGTAGTCTCTACTCCATGTACACTTATTTACTCAGTTATCTCATGTAGGTCCTTAAATGCATTACTATCTACATTCTCGTATTTCTAAGTATAGAAATGTATTTCTGAATGCTAGATGTTGTCTCTGCATGTCATGCTAATTCCACATGCCATCCACTTGGATGTATTATTGATATCTGAACATGGAATGGGTGTGGGGGGAGGGGCAAGATGGCGGAAGAGCAGGGTCCCCAAATCGCCTGTCCCCACCATATTACCTAGATAACCTTCAAACCATCCTGAAAATCTACGAATTCGGCCTGAGATGTAAAGAGAGACCAGCTGGAACGCTACAGTGAGAAGAGTTCGTGCTTCTATCAAGGTAGGAAGACGGGGAAAAAGAAATAAAGAAACAAAAGGCCTCCGAGGGGGAGGGGCCCCGCGAGGAGCCGGGCTGAGGCCGGGGCGAGTGTCCCCAGGACAGGAGAGCCCCGTCCCGGAGGAGCAGGAGCTGCACCAACCTTCCCGGGCGGGCGGAAAGGGGCCCGCAGGGAGTTGGAGCAGGACCCAGGAGAGCGGGGATGCCCTCGGGCTCCCGGGGACACTAACAGGCACCTGCGCCCCGGGAGAGTGCTCCGAGCTCCCTAAGGGCTGCAGCGCGCACGGCGGGGCCGGAGCAGCTCGGAGGGGCTCGGGCGGCGGCTCCGCGGAGGGGGCTGCGGGGCGGGAGCGCGAATCCCACAGCGCAGGCCCCGGAGCACAGGGCGCCGGGACACAGCCCAGGATCCGGCCTCCCCCAGGACAGAGGCCGGGAGGGCCCAGGACAGCAAGGACGCTCCTGCCCCGAGCTGAGCAGATCAGCGGCCCCGCCCCGGAGCCTCCAGGCCCTGCGGACGGAGAACCGAGAGCCCCGAGCCCCGTAGTTCCTGCGGAGGCTGAATCCAGGCTTCCAGAGTTGCCATAGCAACTGCTGCTGTTCCTCCTGGGGCCTGAAGGGGTAAACAACCCCCGCTGAGCCCGGCAGCAGGCAGGGGCAGAGCAGCTCCCCCAAGTGCTAACACCTGAAAATCAGCACAGCAGGCCCCTCCCCCAGAAGACCAGCTGGACGGACCAGTGATACTCCCCCGTGTTCCAATACAACTTGTTTTTGGCCACTCTGCACTGAGCAAAATGACTAGAAGGAAAACCTCACCTCAAAAGAAAGAATCAGAAACAGCCCTCTCTCCCACAGAGTTACAAAATCTGGATTACACTTCAATGTCTGAACATGGAATGCTCACAACTGCCCACTGCCACCCCCTCACCCCACCCTCGCTACACTTTCTGGACAGACTCCACCTGCAGCGTCTCCACCTCGGGTTACAGCAGCTCCACCCCTCACAGTTGCTCAGGCCAAAATCTTGTCATTGTTTGTGATACCTCCGGTCTTTTCGCCATCCACCCCGATCTTTGATCAGCAAATTTTGTCAGCTTTACCTTAAGGAACCACTTCATTGCAACCACTGTGGTGCACCCTTCTTCAAGATCATTGCAAACATTGTCAGACCAGTGTTTGTGCTTCATTCATGTCTCCCAAGAGCATGTTCTCCACTCAATAAGAGTGATCCTTTTAAATGGGGTGAGGTCATGTAGCTCCTCCAGTCAAAAACATTTGGTTACCTACTCAGAGTAAAAGGCAGAATTTTTACCATGACTTATAAGGTCTAGATGGTCTGGCTGCCCCTGCACCCCACCTCCCCAAGTTCTCTCTGGTCTTCTCTCTTAAATCCTCTCCACCCTAGACTGTCCATTTTTCCTACACTGGCCTCCTTGCCAGCCCTAAAAACATGCTATGCACCTCTGCACCTGGTTCTCCCTTTGCCTGGATATCTTCTCCCAGTATCTGCCTGGCTTATTCTCTTATATCTTTAAGACTCTGTTCAAATGTCACCTCCTCAGGGAGGTCTCCCCAGTCTGTGTCTATAAAATAGCATCCTTCCTATCATACTCCTTATCTCCTTTGCCCTGTTTAACGGCTTATGGCATTTATTATATATTTATTCATCTCCTCTGATAAGATATAAACTCTCTGGGATTAGGCTTTTTGGTAACTGATATATTTTTGGCTTTCTAGAAGACTGTCTGACACATAGTATACACTCAGTAAACACTGTTTGAATGAATTGCACCTGAATCCACTCCAACATTTCTATCCCCATAAGTTCTTTAGTTCCAAGGCATTTCTGGCTTCTTAATCTTAGTTACCATGAGCTGCTGTTGATACTAGGTTTGTGTTAACTAATCAAGCAAACTATGAGAACTAAACACATCTGCTCAAGCCGGCCCACTGAATCCAGAGCTTCTGGTAAATATTCCCATATCAATAGATTTCAGTCACATCTGAAAGTCTGTTTTTTCTTCCTTAGTCAAGCAACCTCAGGATTGGTCTCCATATGTTGCCCCCAGCTTTCTGCTGATAAAAATTAGCAAATTCTTGTAAAGGCTTCTCCTCCAATTTGACTTCATAACTGACATGAGAGCTTGCCCTGGTTACAGTTCTAGAGAGGCTGAAGAGTGGGACGAAGGAGCCTAAACAGAGAATGAAGCTCTCTCCGTCAGAAAAGAAAACAACACTGTCTTCGAGAAAGATGAACCTTCTCAGTGTTGGGGAGGGGCCACTTCAAGGAGCAAAGAAGGCTCGGTCACCTTTGGGAATTCAGGGGACTGAGTTCTCCAAGCACACCCAGTCTCCCTCATTTCTATTCTCACTTCCAGCTCTTCCCAATAAATAAGCAAAAGAAACCTGGCCTAGGTATGACTCAGTAGACATTGCATTTTGGCAAGACACAGAATAAAATTAGTTTTAATTCAGCCAACTCTGCTTGTTGCCTTGGGAGAGGGAGGAGATTGGAATTGAGAGTGGTTTGCAAAGGGGTCTCTAGTCTAATAGTAGTTTTCTTCAATTAAAGCATTCATGGATTTTGTATGATCAAAATTAACTTCAAAATTACAATATGGTATAAGAAGTATGGGGAAAAAAGTCTTTTTTCTTTAGGAACACAGTCAAGGAGAACAATCACTGTGTGTTCTGGTATTGCCATACCCCTCTGCATGACATGTATCCAGAGGCCTGTTCCCAGAACTCCTTCTAAAGGTTTGCCAGTGTATGTACCCAATCTATATATACTCATCCTCTTGTCATATTTCCCCGACTTCAACCACTTCTCACCTATATTCACCTGTATTCACTGCCTCCCAAGTCCTCAGATTTGATTGTATCTGCTCCTTCCCCAGTTATAACTCCAGCTTCTTACACTACAGCTCTTTATCTGTGGTAACATACTCGTCATTTTGAATAACAACACTGTCGTTTGAGACAGTCGTTTGTCTATATCCTAGCCAAACAGATTGATTTCAAGGTAGAACCCTTGTTGAATAATGTAATGTATAATAAGGAATATGTAGGATGGCAGGACCAAAGAAGAGAGGTGCCAACCCCTTCCTAATGTTATCAGAATAGACTGGCCAGGGATCCCTGGGTGGCGCAGCGGTGTGGCGCCTGCCTTTGGCCCAGGGCGCGATCCTGGAGACCCGGGATCGAGTCCCACGTCGGGCTCTCGGTGCATGGAGCCTGCTTCTCCCTCTGCCTGGGTCTCTGCCTCTCTCTCTCTGTCTGTGTGTGACTATCATAAATAAATAAAAATTTAAAAAAAAAAAAAAAAAAAAAAAAAAGAATAGACTGGCCAAAAGAGAGAACTATTTAGGATAATGATGCTGATGATGGCATGTATATGTGTGTGTGTGTGTGTGTGTGTGTGTGTATTCTAGGTGTTTCATATGTTGTCTCATTTAATGCTCTCAATAACTGTCAGATTCTACTGTTACCTATTTTATAACTGAAAGAACCAAGGGACAGTGAGATTAAGTGACTTGGCTGGTGATCACATAGCTTACAAAGGGTGGAGCTGAAATTCAAATCTAGCAAGTCCAGTTCCTGAGTCCCTGCCCTTAATCGTGAGCGATAAGACAAAACTCAGCAGGGGCTGAGGATGGCATTCTATCCGGACCAAGGGAACATAGCGAAAATAGCGAAAAACTCAGAGAACATGGAGATTGTTGGAGAACAACAAAGTATTCGGTATGGCAGGAGTATATGTGGTGGCAGATAAGGACACTGAAAGGAGAGGCAGAGACCAATTCATGAAGGGGTTTATTTGCTGGATTTTTATCCTATAGGAAATGAGGGGTTGTTGGAATAATATGTTGTATTTCTGAACAGCCTCTCTGACAGTGAAATGGAGGGTGGGTTGGAACAGATCAAAACAGAAGGCATGGGTTTCTGAGAAAGCATTTGCATTTCCAAAGGAGTTCATAAGGGCTGAGGCAGGCAGCAACATCAATGATGGAAAAAAGATGGAGCTGAATGCTGCAAAAGGAAACTGAAACTTTTGTATTTCATATGTGTCAACAATATTCTGCAGAGAAATAAGATAATGTTCCTGTATTTGCCTCTGTCTTCCTGTTAACGAAATAGAACTCATTAAAGTCTTTTTGGATCAAAGGTAAAGTCTAATTAGGTAAACACTAGGCAAATTTTCAAACAAAAGTAAATATATAAATATTATTTTACAAACAATGATACATAATTTTTCCACATCGCAGAAATAGAGGTGAAGATTAAATCTTTTATTTTACAGAGTTGCTAAAAGACGTGAGACATAAACCAACTTATACATAAGAGAAAAATAAGAATTTTAAACAAAAGCTTATCATGACTATCCATCACTTTTACTTTTAAAACCTTTCTTGGATAGACATTCAAAAATAAGGTCCAGCATATATTTAAGCTCTTTATTTTACTGGACAGATGTGTCATTAGTTCATTTGAAATATTACTGCTTATAAGAAGAATTTGATTTTTCTTCTCAGCAATGAGTGAATTTGTTTCACTTGGAATTTCTAAGGACTAATTTTAGTCAACATTTTCAAAGAATGATAAAGCTTAGAAATAAAGTCTTAATTTAGATAACAAATAGTAGCCTTTAAAATGGAACCAAGACTCTGAAATATCTGAAATCAATCAACATTTATGAACATTAGCATATATTAGTGAATAGCTATGTTAAGGCAAAAAACTGATATATCATCTATTTCCATCAACATGTTAAAGATGATCAAAGTATAAAATATATTTTATAAATGACATGAAATGATTTCAAAAAGGAATTCCTATGTCACAGAACTTTTTATTAGAAAAGTGCCATAAAAGTATAATTGAAAATAAAATTTGATCCTTCAAAATAAGGTGGAAAGATAGACAAGCTTTTGAGTATTTATGTGGATTAATGAATTGTTTGCCAAATCTCCTGAAATGATACCTCGTTCCCATTAAGTCAGTAGACACTATATGGGCTATTTTTCTTTAGAACTGTATTTTGTGAAGAGTGTATTTTTTTTTCTTTTCTTTGTTGTGAGAATTAGAAGTTTGAGAGGATAAGATCCTGCCTCACAAGTACATTTTTGATAACAGAAAATTACTTAAATTTATGCATATATTAATTACATACAGTAAGGGAAAATCCTCTTATCTGAAATAAATATATTGTAATATCAAAATCTTCATAATCTTTTTTTTAAGAGAAGAGAGAAATAAAGAGTAAATCAGTTACATTTACATTTATTAAACTATGGAGTAGATATGAAGCCTTTGAAATCTACAATGATATTTTACATTTTGGTCATCACAATTCTATCTGCATTGCTCTTGCTTTAACGTTTTGATAGTGTTCACAGTAACCTAATTTTCATCATGTGTACCTGAAGACATTGTATGTCATATATATTTTTTAAAGAATATCTTGCTTCTTTTTTGGGTTAGAATTTTCTATAAAGAGCAATATTTGAAAATGTTAATTTGTTACCTAAAGCAACTATCCTCCTTAATCATTTTCAAATGAGTAAAGTTGCATCTTTATGAGTTTATTTTGAAAATATAATAGAGAAATTATAGTTTCTATAATAGAAACTGACTGGAAATTAAAGGCTAAATATATTTTTTATGACTCACATACAATATAGTGTATTATTTCAAATTTTATTCTAAAATATGTTTAAATGTTCAACAGAATACTACTGTTCTCTCTGAAATGATCTCTTTATACAGTGATGAAATTTAACACACTATTTTTTATAATCTTTTTTAAAATGATACCTACACTCCAGAATTAGTGAATTATAAAAGTTTCAGATATTTTATTTTGGTTAAAAAAATAAACACTTGTATTTAAATCTTTTAAAAAAATAAGCAATACACCAGCTAAGAATTGAAATACATACTATTGAACTACTTTTCTATATATTTCAAAATTCATATGTCCTATAAAACACCTTTCTATGAAGTGAATCACTTAATGAAATTATTGCTTTGGATATAAATGCTTTGGCCTTCAGAGTATGCTAGTCTATAAATAAATGCTTCATTCCCCACCCATAACTGCCCTTCCAAAAGAAAGCCTACCAGTAGTCACGCACAGTAGTGAGCAAACTTAAAAACTATTGTGCATACAGAGCAAAGGAAGCTAATTTTTATATTAAAGCAGTTTTTACCATCCAACATCTAAAGAGTTATTGTGAATTACCTTTAAACCACAGTCTTTAAGATTGAATTAATTTTCTGAATGCTTTTAGAAGTGACATTATGCTACCGCTTTCAAAATCTCTTAAATGACAAATATTTTACATTTCACAAATAGTACCTAAATAGGTCTAATTATATAGATTTCCCTTCATCTGGGAACTAAAATGCTATAGGGGTCTTCCTGAACCACAGTAAATGCCATCAATTGAGAAAGTTTATCTCAGAATGAGGATTAGGATATTTAGAGATGAAGAAATACTCAATAACTGAGAATAGTTTGAAAAGAGTGATCTACCTTGAAATGTGTTTAAGTCACAATCAAAATACAGATTACTTGTGTAAAAATCCAGGCTGCTAAATAAACAATGATTTCATAATTATAGTAATACAAGTAAGTAGAAAACCTTTCAATTAATAGAAATTAAGAAAATCATAAATCTAATGTATAATTCTCAATACTTCCAATCGCTTTGCAAGTACTCATTTGGATAACAATACAACAGCAACAAAGAACTCCTTTAAAATGTATATTTTTTCAGTTTATTTCAAACGCTGTGTAGCATAAGAACCTACTCCTTAGAGATAAATTTTTAGTCACAGAAAAGTAGTATGAAACATATTCCAAAGTGCTGAAGGAATTAACTACCCTACTAGGTAACGAATACCCAGAGGAATAAGCATTAGTGATTTATGGCTTAAAGTGCTTGGGTCTAATCATCATTTTGGCCTCTTTAAGGGAGGACTTGTAGCCACCAGGGTGTGCCTCACTTATACCAGGCCAGGTACCCCAGAAAATCCCATTACGGACACCTCTGTATTTTTGGTGATAATATCTGCCATTTAAGTTTGCAGAAAGACATGCATCAAACCACCAGCCTGAACTGTAATAGAGTCCACAGTTCCCAGAGGGATATCGATCATTGTCTCTATCTGGGGTGGTAAAAAACTTCAGATCATGGTTGTAATGTTTACTGAAATGTAAGGCATCTCCTGCTGTGCCATTATAGTTACCGATGTGTAATCGGTATTTGAGAAACTCGTTGGCCACATAAAACTGATCATACAAGGCATAGAGTTTGACACCATTAAAGTCTTCAAGATCTATCCTTAGAATCATATCCTTACTCTTGGTCAAAAGATGAATTTTATCATTCCCCAACCAAAATTCTCTTCTGAGGTTTCCAAAGCCCACTTTATAGTCTTGCCATGTTCTGGTGAAGTTGGTGCTTCCATCGAGACGTGCCTGCAGCACTGTCCAGCCTCCCCCCATGGTCTCCATGTCGCAGAAAACTTCGAAGCTACTGTTTTTGGGATCCGGTGTAACTCTGTAGGTCTCACTGCTTCTTTTGCCTATCGTGTAGTAGTCAGAGCAATCTTTATATATTAGATGTTGCACTAAAGGGGGAAGAAGACAAAGGCATTGGATTTTGTTAATAAAAAATATGCATCTGAAGAATTCTTTACATTTACAAGAGCAGTCTGATAACTCAGTCAATGGTGTTAATGAAACCTTGCTCTGCAAAACTTACTTGAACATGTTTAGCAAATGTTTATTAAGGCCTCGGAATCAGAACTTGATGCTATAAAGCAGACACGGCTCTTCCACATACTCTTGGTAATAATAGTGACAATGTTCACAATAAACGAGGAGCTCAATAAAATAGTTTCAGTAATTTAGTTACTATTTAGTGAGTGCTACTTATGTGTTCCAGGCATTCTACATAGACTTCACGTTTTCACACTTACTCTGCACATTGACCTTATGATGTAGGTATTGTTTCCGATCTGTACGTGAGGATGTTTAGTAGGCTCAAAGAGAATCAGTGGCTTGCCCAAGTTCACAGAAGCATTAAGTGGCAGAGCCAGGACACACTGAGGTCTAGCTGGCTGTAAAGCTTGTTCTTGTAACTACTTCATTCCTTGGTGCTTAAAGGTCAGATGCCTCCAACTCTCCTAGAACTGCATTCCATGTGTACAAAAAAAGCACATGTTTCTTTCTGTTTCCTTTCACCCAAAGGGGCCAATACCTTCCTCTGTCATCATTTGGTTATGTCCAAATGATGTATTAAAATTTTAAGGTACAGAACTGATCATAAATTCGCATTTGTTTTACTTGTGTGACAATGAAAGAAGATCAAGTAAAAAAAAGGAATTTTTAAAATAATATAACAATATTCTTGTTCTGAATTTATTTATTTTTCTTGTTCTGAATTTATTATCTGGAAAGTATTTAGCCAGTGTTTCATATGTTTGGTTTCTAGAAAGAAATAACAGGTGGTTATGTCCAGGATAAATATAATAATCAGTTGACATAGCTGTGTAGGAATCAAATACAGATATTACTCTCAAAGAATTTCTATAAAGATTTGGGCCAGATAAGGTAAATTTAATATGAGCTACTCAGAGGCACAAAATATCTATTCATGTGTGTTTAGAACTCAGAGTACCCCAATATTTCCTCCAAACTTTTAGCACAGAAATGAATAGTAGAATCTTGTTCATATCATTCCAAGTTGCCACGCAGCATCAAATCTAATGTGTGCCCAGAGATGTCACCAAGATGTGAACCTTTGCCTTGCAGTTCAGGGTACATTCAGATCCAGACTACCAGGAGTATTAGCAACAGTGGTCCTTGAAAGCCCTGCCTACCTCCGGATCCTTGGCAGATTCCCTAGGGACGGTGCACACATGAGGTGCTTGGCCCAACGGAATATGATCTCTGTCCCACATGCCACATCCCTTCAACCTTACACTCATGGTAAATGGTCGCCCTCATGCAGAGATGGCTTTCCAAAGTGTAGCCAGACCATCAGCAGCAGTGTCCCAGGAACTCAGATGGAAAGCCAGCATTTGGAGGAACCAGTGCCACAGTTAGAAGTTTGTGGGCATAGCAGGAGTAGTTAAGCAGTAGTAGTTAGGTTTGTGGTCCTCTGGCCTGCCAAAACTCTCCCTTTAAGATGTTTTTGTGCGCCTCAAAGCAAAAAGTTCTGTGCACACATGAAGCCATACAGCTGCTTTTATTCTATCTATAAAATCTCCTATTGTCATTAGATATTTGGGATTATGAGCGGCAGAAAGTTAAAATCTTTCAAAGACTTCTTGGGACCACAAGAGAAGGAACAGTCAGCGAACCACAAGAGACTGATTTCCAATGAACAAAGCGTAACTAGAAATACAGCCTTCTCTCTGTCGTTCTCAAACCTTTCAGTGAAAAGATAAGTTAAATGCACTGAAACATTATATCAAAACAACATCTCTCCACTTCCATTTGTGTGTAGCTCTAGCATTAGCACATCAGATCTTTGAAATTGGAAGTGCTCTCTCTGGCGAGATACAGAACCAAGCATGATTTTTAGAATTCTTATATTATCTCTATGGTCACATTTGCAAAGACAGACAGTAGTTTCTCCTCCACTACCTTGGTGAATACAGGGCTTAATTTTTATCTCATCTGCCATTTGTCGAACTGGTTTGCTGAGGTTAATGTTTACAGATAGTGTCTAGCTATATAAAATTCAGGAACAAGCGATGAGAAAGCGTCGTACATACCCGGACGCGACTGTGTGTGTTCCTGGCTGGGGCACTTGGATGAACACTTGCCATCCAAACTGTTGACCACCGACGTTAGATTCGCCACTTTGCTATCGACATAGTTTTCTATGTTGTTCATATTTACAAGACTGAGCTCCTCCAGGCGACCGTGAAGCACGTCGATCTCCTCCTTGGCGTTCTTGAGGTCGGCGGACAGCTTGTTAACCTCGCTCTCTAGCTCTCGAACCCGCCCGTCCTCGGCTTCCCCCGGGGCCCCCGGGCTGGGCGACAGCTGTCCCCCTCGGCCCGGGGCCCGGCTGTCGTCAGCCTGCAGTTTGCAGTCCTGGCAGGACTTCTTCAGGCTGTTCACCGTTTCCTTGAGGTTCTGGACTTCCTTGAACACCTCCTCGAGCCTGCCCCACTGCGCGGGCAGCTGGACGGTGAGCGCGGGCAGGCGCACCTGGTAGGCGCACTCGCCGCCCGCCGCGCACCTGCCGGTGCTGCGCAGCGTGGCCGGGCAGGCGGCCTCCGCGCCCGCGCCCGCGCCCCCGCCTGCCTCCGCCGCGCCGTCCGCCACCGCCAGCAGGCCGCACGCCGCCAGGACCGGGCCCAGCCAGCACCAGCCGGCCGGCGGCATCTTCGCGGGCGCTCACCCCGGGGCGCCGGCCGGCCCGCGCGGCTTTAAGGGGCGCGCAGCTGGCGGCCGGGGCGGCGCTGGGCGTTCTCGGAAACGGGCGGGGGCGCTTGCATCACAGCGCCCGGGCCGCGGGGAGCGGGAGGGGGCGGGGAGTGGGGGGGAGAGCGGGGGGGCGGGGGAGCGGGGGTGAACAGGGGAGCGAGGGGAGCGATGGGGGGGAGCGGGAGGAGCAGGGGAGCAGGGGGAGCAAGGGAGAAGGGGAGATGGGGAGAAGGGGAGCGGGGGGAGCAGGGGAGCGGGGGGGAGCGGGGGAGCGGGGGGGAAGCGGGAGGAGCAGGGGGAGCAAGGGAGAAGGGGAGCGGGGGGAGCAGGGGAGCGAGGGAGAAGGGGAGATGGGGAGCAGCGGAGTGGGGGGAGCAGGGGGGAGCAGAGGGTAGCGGGGGAGCAGGGGGGGCGGGGGCGAGCGGGAGCGGGGGAGCGGGAGGGGAATGCAGGAGCAAGAGAGAAGGGGAGCGGGGGAGCGGGGGCCGTGCGCTCCCCGCAGCCGCCCCGAAGCCCTCGGTCGCTCCCAGGACGGCGGGCGCAGAACTCCTGTGGCTGACTGCTTGCGCACGTTCCTCCTGTTGCGCTTGTACGTGTAGTTTCTACAGCCCTGGGGGAAAAATCTCGGATTTCACCATAATTATCCTTGAAACAAATCGTACTTAATGCCACTGGGGACACCAGCTGTTAAAGATGGTGCTTAAGGTGCTGGTTATCCGGCCTGAAGAAGGGGGAGTTTACATAAATGGGAGGTGGGCTTTTTTTTTCCTTTTCAGGTTGGGGTCGTTGAGGATTCTGTGTATTTTTCGTGTTGGGCTCTCGGGTGAAATCTTAAGCATTTGAAAATTTTGAGAACTATGACCACGAGTGCAGCTTTCTGACTCCTGCCATGCACTTTTGTTTCACCTGTTTGAAAAGGAGAAGAAAACGGGTCGAGAGGAAGGCGTTGCTTTCTACCCCTTTGGCCCCAGCACAGTTGGTGGAAATGTCTCTACGACAAAAACGCATTTAAAAGTGCATCATCGCCCTTCCTCAGAGCTTTCTCCTTCGCCCTCACCAGCTCTGTCATATTCTGACACTGTCTTCGAACTTCTGGCTCTGTTCTGATTCTCCTGTCCCCAACGTCCCTGCTTTCCTTCCCACTGGCAGCCCAGCCGGGCGTCCAGGCTCTCTGAGCCCACAGGGGGTCCCTCCACCCGCCTCTCTGCCACTTGCTCTGTCACTGTGTTGCCCAGACACATATCAGCACTTATGCCTCTTCAGACTTGTCTTGGTTTAAACCTTTTTTCGCAGTTTTCAACCTTTTCTCCTCAAAGGCTGAGGGTGCAGAAGGGGGAACACTCCAATTGGAGAAACCACTTCCTTTTACCTTGTTTTACATCTTGGCATCTCATATAAGTTTTCTTGGTTCTTTTTTTTTTTTTTTAAGATTTTAGTTATTTATTCATGAGATTTTTTTTTTTTTAAGATTTTAGTTATTTATTCATGACCTAGGCAGAGGGAGAAGCAGGCTCCATGTGGGACTCCATCCCAGGACTCCCGGATCACGACCTGAGGCACCCAGGTGTCCCAGTTTCTTATTTTAAAAAGTATTTTTTGGCTTTAAAAATAATTTCAAAATAACTGATATGGATTAAAATCCAAACTATTTATTACTTTAAGATACTCTATAATCTGTCTCATATTTATTTAACTTGATGTCCTGTGACTTTTTCTTTATACACCTTTCATTCCAGCCAGATACTCTATTCACCCTAACATGTTCTCTAAATATGTCAGGCTCACTTTACACCTTGGCAATTGTATTTACTCCTGAATACTTGGAAGACCTGAATTCCACTCCTGGATCTACCTCTTATTGCATGTATTATCATTAACTTTACCGAGCCTTGGTTCCTGTAGCTGTGAAGGAGGTATTGGGCTGTCCTTCCCTCATACAAGAACGATAATTACAAAAAATTTGAGTGAAGTGTATAGCAAATGTGGTGTATAAGCGTAACATTCTTTCCAAACAAATTTATCAAACGCATTCTGCACACCTTATGCCTCATTTTCCTTCCTCATCTTCCAGCTTTTTAAAAAAAATTAAGTTTGTTTCCTCTTCATTCCTTTCGGTGTAGTCAAACCAATATACACAGTTTCTTAACTTTTGACTAGAAATATTTAATCTCTTAATTTCATCTTTTCTCACTCACTAAGAAGCTGTGATACTCCTCTGTTGTAAGGAGAGAAATACATGAATAATCATTTTAAAAGAGAGTGATGATAACATAGATAATACATAAAAATATTGTATAAAGTAGAAATATATAGGAATAACATTTAGTTTAGAATACATTACTGAATGCCCTTAACTGGCTAGAATACAATCTATATATTTAGCCAATCAGCTATTAATTAATGAGCTTCTATATATCCAGCATTATGCTAGATCATATGTAAAATGCATGCCATGGCCTCATTCATTCACTCATCCATCCATCCATCCATCCATCCATCCATCCATCTATCCATCCCTCTATCCATCATGTATTAACTGAGCATCCTCTATAGGCAAGACACTATTTCAGGTACTTAGGCTACACTAGGGAACAAATCAAACAAAATCTCATTTTCCTTCTTAGGCAGGATTTTCTTCACATTGGACTTTGAAGTAAGTCATAAGCACTTTAAAAAGTTTCTGAATCTAATGAAGGTGCAGCTTTCTGACTCTTGTATTGGGCTGTTGTCTCATCGTTTGAATCAGGGATTGACTTTCCAGCACTGCTGCTGATTCTTGGGCCCTGCACCCCCACCTGGCCAAGGGCTATGGCATAGTTCCACATAAAAAGCTTGGATGTGCTGTGGGAACTGGCCCTCCTGTCCCTTTGGGATCTATAAAAAATTCCCCTAAAAAGGAGGTAGAGAACTGCTTTGTTAATCAGTTCTCATTGACATTGGCAAGTGATCCTCTGGGTTCTTAATTTAAAAAAATCACTGGTCACTTATGCAGGCAGACATTATGTGACTACAACGTGAAAGAGGTTCAACCTGACTAATGAGTTTATAACCCACGGGGCCAGAGAGTATGTGCTACAATCATTTGAGAAGCTTTCACTAATACTATCTCACTACATCTTCCCATCTCTACAGTTACTATGTGCACTTTCAGATGAGCAAAGAAGGGGCTCAGAACATTAAATACTTGCCCATTTTACAGTTTTCAAGAGACAGAGTTGAAATTTGAACCTGGATCTCACTCCAAAGTTCTTATCTCTTCTCCCATGCCACACTGCCACATAGGGGGAAAGATAATACTGGAGAGGTATATTGGTACCATGTTATGGAGAACCACTGCTTAGACCAATGGGGAGCCACAAAAGGGTTTTGAGCAAGAGAATAATATTATCAGTTAAGCATTTTAGAGAAATTAATCTGTCAATGAATACTTGATGCACTAGAAAGGGAAAGATTAGGTGAGGAAAGCAGTGTAGAGGCCATTTAAATAGTCCAAGTCATTGTTTCCCAAAGTGCGTTTCCTGGAACATGAGTAACTAAATGCTGATGAGTAGAGTTTCAGGACAAGCAGATCTGAGGAAGATCAGTCATGTGCTAAAGTGTGTTATGGTTGGCCAAGAGGGAAGTGATGTATACGACATTTTTCAAATGTCAGTTAACAACAGGAACCTTACCCTGCCAACCCCATGACCATTTTTAGGAATGGACCTTCTACTACAAACGAATAGGAAATGGGAGTTGTAGGTGAGAGGTATTAGTGTGATGGCAGGAGGGGAACTGGCTCTCCTGTCCCTTTGGGATCTATAAAAAATTCCCCTAAAAAGGTAAAGAACTGCTTTGTTAATCAGTTCTCATTGACATTGGCAGGTGATCCTCTGGGTTCTTACCCCTAGGGGGTTGTATACATTATTGCATACATTAATGCATACATTATTACCAAGAAGTGACAGAAGCCATGAGATCTGAAAACTGATCAGAAATGGAGGGAAATGGAGAACTATGAAATATGACTCTAGTTGAAGTTAAGTAATGTGGTAATGAGTAGGGAGGGAGGGAGCAGCAGGTTGGGGAGAGTGTGGAAGTATTATTTCTGTCTTGAAAAAACTGACAAGCCATTAAGTAGAAATATCTGCCAAACAGCTGGACATCTAGATATGAAATCATCACAGAATACATGTGGATATCAACTTGAAACCACAGGAACCAAGAAGATGGTAAAAGAAATAGGACGAGAACTAGAAGAATGCAGTGTTGTGAAGACTGGGAGAGAGGTTTTTAAGCAGGCAGCTATCAGATAATCAAAAGTTTGAAGATCTGTTTTCAATGCCTATGGAATTCTCCTCATCTGACCTTCACCTTTTGGCTCCTGCCTTTTGCTGGAAAGTCTTCTGGATTTTCTCATGTCCATTCTGCCCTGATTTGACTATTATCCTCTGATTCTTCAAGATTTTCATTTATTTATTAGAGAGACAGAGAGAGAGAGTGAGCATGAGAGTCAGGGGGGAGGGCAGAGGGGGAGGGAGAAGCAGACTCCCGCTGAGCAGGGGCTGGATCCCAGGACCCTGGGCTCCTGAGCTGACCTGAAGGCAGACAACGGATGGAGCCATTGGGCGTGATTCTTCATAACAGTGTCAGAATCTTCCCTTCTTCCCCACATCTGCCTTCAGCTCAGAACTGACACATTATGCCCATTTACAGATTTGTTTTTCAGATCTAAACAAATTATATAGCACCATATGATAGGATTTCTATAAGCCACATATGAAAATTAATTTCATCCACCTATATTCACAACATATTCGGACTTCTTTATTGTTTTCTTATTCAAAGTACATTCAAGGGAGGATCTGCATTTACTGCATTTTTCAGATTTCAAAAGTAAATTTCCATGTCCTCTAATGCAGCTTTTTTTTTCCCAAAAGGAAACACTTTGGGATCCCTGGGTGGCGCAGCGGTTTGGCGCCTGCCTTTGGCCCAGGGCACGATCCTGGAGACCC